TGTCTGCGAACGTGTGCGCTCTTCCGGCTAGCGTAGCGCGGCAGCATCGCCACGCACACCGGTCGATCGTAGCTGCTCCTGTTCGAGGACGAGATGCCGGGACGGAGAGAAGGGGCGAGGCTGAGAGGAAGCAGTATTGTGGCAGAGAGAAGGGGTAAGGGTTCGTGACCGACTGGGAGCATCATTTCATTGAAGAGGGGGCTCGAGCGTGGCTACGTGGAAGTGGGGTTGTTGCGAAGAGATGGTACTGCGGAGCTGAGTGTTTGGAGAGAAATAGAAATAGAGAGAGAGAGGGGGGGAGGTAGGGAGAGAGAGTAGGACTGAGAGGAAGCCGTGTGTTGGCGCACACACTGGCGGGCAGACAGGTACACGCGCCAGTCTCCGACAGCCGACAGACGACAGCAGCGAGATCGATAGTTCGTGGAGACTGGCTGGAAGCAGAACGAGAATTCACATGCAGACAGTGAAGCCCAACCAGCAGCTGCTGCTAGCTGGGCGTGGACTTAATACTGTACACGTGTAACTGTTAGACTGTGAGTGTGGATATGGCCATGTACTGTAGGGATGAGGTGGCTGTCCTACGTGTGTGATAATGTACATGTGTCTATATGACGAGCATTCACGTACATATCATATTAATAATTATGTATAGTTTACTGAGAATAGTGCCTGGAATGCTGTGCAGTGGAATACAAGATGCAGTCAACACTCAACAATAACGACCGTAACCGTTCATTTAGTTCGGTTTTCTGTGAAGTTGGGCTTATAGGGGGTCTATTCCATGCATATCTTTCTTGTCTTTGATGGTGCTGGGACCTGTCCCGTTTAAAATCGTAACAATCGTATGGTTTAACGTGAGATTTGGGTTTGGGGGGGCGTTCGGATTTCGGAGAGATGACTGTATATCATAACCAGGGTAAACATGGGTCTCGGTCATTGGTGAGTGTCTCTTGTTTGGCAATCCGGTGTTAATTTCGCCTCTTCTTCCAATGGCTTTGATTGGCAGTGCTTGATGGCGGTCGGTTTGTTTTGCTATGTCATTACGGGGCTACGTCGTTTGATGAGCTCTAGTGTGTATGTGTGAATAATAAGCAAGCATCTTGTGTCCACGACACAGTGTCTGCATCGGTCTTAATTGGTCGCATATATAAATGCGCTCGCCAAAAGGAGGAGCTTTGGCGATGGGAAGATAGGTAACCGAAGGTTGGGGTAGTAGTTAGTTTACGGCGGGGTCTTCCTCGCCGCAGGTTGTCTGTCCTACGTTCGAGATGGTTCGTACACTCGCTGAGAACGCGGGAGCGTATTTCTCTGTGTCAACCTGCGCGCAGTCGACTCCCACGCCCATTGGCGCTGTTCCAGTGGTGGGTTTCGATCGATATTATTCTAACGTGAAAGGGAAATCTGGCGCGAGAGCGGGCTGAATTCAGCCAACGTGCATCGGTGCTGTAGATGACGTGGAGAAAGTCAGTGGGTGTGTGCGTTGAGTATTAGGGGTGATGATGTCCGTGGTCGTATTGTCGTGGGTGTCACGTTGGAAGCCCGCAGGAGACGCAGTGAGGCAGAAGGGGAGGCAAAGGGAGAAATCTGCCATCGTTGCGAGCCGATCAGTGGTGGCACGGCGCGCTGCGACGATGCGTGTTCGTCTGCTCTGGTCGTTGCCCGCCGCTACGCGCAGCAGGCCCGTAGGGTTTGCCGTACGTTTTCTCGTGATTAGACGGCCTTGGCTTCTTTTAGAAAGTGGTGATGCAACATGATGATGATGATGTATGTAGATTGCGCACATGCACGCGTACGCGCATACCACGAGATACGACCCAGTTGTAAATAGCTTTTGATATAACGTTATGCAGCGACGTACATCTGGACAGTGTAACTGTAAGCTGTAATCGCCGTGAGCTGTGAATTCAGTACGGCTAGGGTGAAATGCTATTATAGGGGTTCCGGGAGAGCGGTCGGCATGTGCAACGGGAAAACTGGGGCAGAAGATGACCCAGCTAGAGCCGGAATAAGCAACAATAGCGCAGGCTAAACACTGTCCAACATCGTCTTTGGCCCACTCTCGCGTTAGCTTCGAAATGTAGGCCAATTGTACGCACGCACGCACGCACCTCCTTCATTGCGCCTGCTCGAGAAATTCCACAAATTCCTTTCGTTTGTCAACAACTAAAGCGGGTTGAGCTGACATGAGATGAAAGTTGTCCATGTTCGTGACTGCCGGTAGAATTTACTAGTAGAGTGACGAAGTTGTTTAGCTGATCTCTTTAAATATAGAGGTATCTAGTGCAGATTGTAGAAATGCTGCAGTGAATGGTGTAGCTCTATAAATATCAACTGTCGAATGTCTGGTACAATTGAGTGTCACTATGTTTTGGACATGTGCGTGAGAATTTATAAAAAGTGGATCTAATTAAAGTGATAACGACCGTGCATTTAATCAATTAAAATACGTTTATTTTTTAATAAGTCATGACGTCACGGTGAATCGTAATGGTTTTCAACGTGATTTGATTTCATACATGTAATTTTGAGGTCTGCAAACATAGAGTTTCCTAGATTACTAAATGGAAACAGCCTATTGTATTACAATCAGCAGATCGGCACTGTTTCCTTCGAGAAACAGTAGTCATGTACGTGATAGCGACAGCAGCTACAGGTTGTGTAAATACGGTAGGTGCAGGTGGAAGTGCGGGAGCGGTAATGATAGGTGCTGCGGTAAATCTGCAATAGGCTGTTTACTTTTCACTCATGGATTGTGATATAATAACTTCCTATGCGGACATGCATTTTATGTATCAAATAGTGAGTGTGCATTTACCGGTTGTTATGAGAGGGGTGCGCGAGGCCATATATGATTAATTTATCTGCGCGTGTATGCCGTAGCTACTCCAGGATACATTGATAAAACAATTTAAAAGCTGAAACTTGAAAGAGTGAATCATTAGTGCGGGTGGGTAGCTGGGTCATAGTATAATAGTCGCTAGCTTCAATGGTTCTATCAATTTGCAGACCAAGGCAGGCTCATTACCTATTCTAAATGTCATAAAATCAATACAGTGCAACCATCGCTCATTCTGCCTACAATATTGGTATCTCTCTAGTACGTAATGTATATGTTAGGATGCAAAACAGTGGCATAGATGGAAGTATTCATTATAATTATTGCAGGTGGTAACTGCATAAGAAGATTGAATGGAATGTGCCATAGCTTGGCATATAATCACAAATATTCGGGTATGCGTGCAGTTTCTTGGCTGGAACCAGATCTATGTGGTTGAGAAATTTCTTGTTCTCTATCTAGTGTCGCATTCTGTCAGTGGCATAAGCGACAACGAATCCAAACGCGGTGATTTTAGTTTTGATTTTAGTTTTATGCCCATAGGAACTTGTAGAGTGACTAAATCATGGAACAGTTGGATGTTTGGCAATCCTAGCTATCAATACACACATGAGTGTCTGGGGGATAAATACACTATATATATATATATAAAACGGTGGCGTTCTGACATGCTTCTGCATGCGTGAGTAGCTGCAGATAGTACGCACGACCGTCAAGGGGTTGGCAGGAGGTGGTGTTTTCACCGGCGTGTGTTTGTTGGTTTGTGCGTGTACAGCCTAACTGAAAAAGTTATGGACGGATTGTCATAAAATTTTCAGGATAGGTCAGAAATCGCCTAACTTAGAATTGATGAGCTTTTGGTGGTGATCCGGATCCAATTAATTAGTTAATTAATTAATTAAATTGTTAGGATAGGTTAGAAATGGGGTAACTTAGAATTGATTACATTTTGGTGGTGATCCGGATCCAATTAATTAATTAATTAATAACATTTTCAGAATAGGTGAGAAATGGTGTACATTTTGGTGGTGATTCGGATCCAATTAATTATTAAATTAATTAATAAACATTTTCACAGTGAGAGAATTGAGCTGCCTTGGCAGAGGTCTGTGCTCTCCGAGTGAGATAGTTTAGGTATTTATTAGGTCTTGGTGCTATGAGTAATAAACTGCTGCCATGTGTGCTGCTGGCAGCGGGAGCCGTACTGTGTTGCTGTACACAACTCATAACGAGCACGTTCAGCAGATCGTTGGTCGTGTACTGGGCAAATGGTAGCGACCATTCTGATACAAATCTGTCCTGAATTAAGTACGGCTCATAGGGTCTATGTCCCCCAGGGTACCGCCGGAACGTACCCTGGGTACGGTCCGGTATACCGGAACGTACCCTGGTAACTATCTGATATGGTTAGGGTTAGGGAGTAGGCGTAGGCGACTCCCTAGACTCGTTAGTGGAGTAGGCGAGGTACAGTCTGGCATATTAGATAGTACCAGCAGAGCATATAAATCACGTTGATTTATATGCTCTGGTACCAGGGTACGTTCCGGTATACCGGACCGTACCCAGGGTACGTTCCGGCAGTACCCTGGGGGACATAGACCCTCTCAGCTTAAAGGCTCACAATGCGCATCCAAACGCTAATTTCTCCAGTACTAGACTAGCAAATACTTCGTGTCATGCATAATCACACTACCTTATGACAAAATAAACTAGTTGCTCCCATTTCACTGCGCGTTTGCTTAAAACCCACAAGAAAGAGGTGAGAAAACTGGCATTCTGGCGCAAACGCCGACTGTTTCCCAAACAAAATAGCCTCGAAGTGGTGACGTGACGTCACATGTTTTTATCTTTGCTGCGCCCGTACCGCTGTACCGCTGCACGGTTGCTTGGGGATTGGGGAAACTGTCAACAACATCGGAGAATTTCAACAACATTGGAGGTATTTTCAAAATACCTTTTATAAGACAACGCGCAGTGAAATGGGAGGAACTAGAGTTTATTTTGCCATAAGGTAGTATGATTATGCATGACACGAAGTATTTGCTAGTCTAGTACTGGAGAAATTAGCTTTTGGATGCGCATTGTGAGCCTTTAAGTACGAGTGCGCTTCACCCTAATCCGTTCAGAGCTTTAGCATTGATACTGAATGTTAATGTGTTTGCAGGAAAGGTACCATGTGCTGCATGCAAAAAGAAATGCAAGGGAGAGGTGCTGAAGGTGCAGGACAAGCATTATCATATAGACTGCTTCAGGTGTAAAAGTAAGTTTACTTCATGAGCATGTCAATTATACAATATTGCGTGTGAAGTTTCGTGCTGCATCATTTACAGACGAGTGCTGACAGAACATCGCTCGGCTCTGTCCAGGATGTGCAAACACTCTAAAGTTGTAAACATTCGAAAGTACTAGTTTCGTAACTGTTTAGATTTGCTGAAGAAATGTTAAGTAAGTAGCACTACAAATGAGTTGTACTAGTGAGTTTTTACAACATAGACGAGCTCACACTCACAGTAGGTATATCTATATGCATTTTGCTGCGAGAACTGGCAACTTTAACGTTGACTTTTTATGAGAGAGATTTTCGAGTGGGAAAGTGCTAGTGTGCCTACCACGCCCGGACACTGACAGTCTTACAAGCATGGTTAAATCCTGCTGAAACACACTATAGATCTATAGCAACAAGAGTAGATAATAACACAAGAGTTACACACCCGATTCCCGCACTTTTAACCGATTTTTCTCATCAAAATTTGCCACCAATAAAGAAGCAAGTGTATACGTTCCTCAGCTTATTATGACCACTAATCACTCGCCTTCGTGGTACTGATATTCGTTTACACATATTTGCTAGCGTATTGCTGTAAATCGTAATCATGCACGAGCTGAATTCGCACGATTTACCGCTATTGTGTAGAGGTGTTAAGCCAAAATTTGAAGCTATAGTGGCGCCAATATTTAGCAACGGACTGTTTCCAAATCATTTGTGTTATTATCTACTCTTGATTGCAAGCAAACAGGGTTCCTCTTCAGTCTTATTTCTGATATTCTGCTCCTTCTTACAGCGAGAAAATTATGACATCAATCACATACGAAACCTTATTTCATCTCCTTTTCTCTTCGTATCTCTCTGCTGTTTAGCATGTAAGAAGTCACTGGCAGCAGGTGGATTTTTCTGCAAGGAGGGTAACTACTACTGCGCCGATGATTACCAGACACAGTTTGGAACGCGCTGTGCAAAGTGCAACGACTATGTGGAGGGAGAGGTGGTGACTGCTCTTGGTCGGACCTACCATCAGAACTGTCTCCTCTGCGCGACCTGTGGGTAGGTGGACCCACAGATACATGTTGAACGATATGAACGGATACATTGTAACGTCGGTGTGCCATTGTTTCTCGCTTGCACTTCGTCTCTCTCTCTCTCTCTCTCTCTCTCTCTCTCTCTCTCTCTCTCTCTCTCTCTCTCTCTCTCTCGTCCTCTCTTCTCTCGCTTCTCTCTCTCTCTCTTCTCTCTCTCTCCTCTCTCTCTCTCCCTCTCTCTCTGCTTCTCTCTTCCTCTCTCTCGAATCTCTCTCTTCCCTCTATTTCTCCTCTCTCTCTCTCTCTCTCTCTCTCTCTCTCTCTCTCTCTCTCTCTCTCTCTCTCTCTCTCTCTCTCTCCTCTCTCTCTGTCTCTGTGTCTCTCTCCCTCTCGCTCTCTCTCTCTCGCTCTCTGTGTCTCTCTCTCTCTTTCTCTCTGTGTCTCTCTCTCTTTCTCTCTCTGTCTCTCTGTCTGTCTTTCTCTCTCTCGCTCTCTCGCCTCTATCTCTCCCTCTCCTTTTCCTCATCTCTCTCCCCTGCTTTCGACCAACATTGCTCAGTAAATGGTTTCACTGGGATCAAATACACAGGCGGCTCTCAGATTCTAAGGTCCGATAAGAATATAGGTAGGGTAAGGGGAGGAATAGATGGATAATGGAGTAAATTTCAGTGGAGATGTAGTAGGGTTTCAGGGGTAGAAATTAACTTTTGAACAAGGGAGTCCGTTGGACTCCCTGCCCTCTAAAAGAGGGAGTCCGCAGCAAAATGAGGGAGTTCGCAGTCTGAAATTCAAAACTAAAGCATAACAACAATAACACGTGCTTATTTTGAAGATTCATGCGACGCATGTCTGGAAACGAACAGTTAGTATAGCAGAATTTTCAGGGAGTCACACGGATTCCTGTCAAATCAGGGAGTCCGACAGTAAATCGGGGAGTATTTGACTCTGGACTCCCATTAATTTCGCACCCTGGGGTTTTGTCTGAATTGAATTGCTTGTTGCTACAGCGCTCTATTAAAAATAGGGCTGGGAACACGTAGAGATTTGTGAGAATATTGCTCTCCATTTCGCCCCCCTCCCTCCCCCTGCTCTCTTCTCATGCTTCTCCGTATCCTCCTTTCTAGGAAAGCTTTCCCGCCTGGGGAGAAGGTGACTTTCAGAGATGGCAAGAGCATGTGCGAGAATTGTCTGAATCGGCTGCCATCACCGCCCGTGTCACCTGTCCGAGAAGCACCGAAAGGAGCGAGTAAGTGTTGCTGTTACAAGGTCGAAATTATCGAGATGGGCTCGAGTTTATATTGTACTCGGGAAGGTTTTGTGGTTGTTTTGGGGGCAATTCTTGTGTGCTAACGTAACATAAGGGCAGATGGTTTAGTACAGGCTAACTTGAAGTGATTGCACCCCAGCTTTCTCACTCACCTTCCTGTTTAATCTAACAACAGCTGCAGCATAGATTGCCTCGTCGGTGTGTGATGAGAGGTGCAGTTTCATTTCGTACTAATGTTTGATAGAGAGTCTATCTAGTGAGCATGCCCTCGTGTGATGAGAGGTGCAGTTTCATTTCGTACTAATGTTTGATCGAGAATCTAGCTAGTGAGCTTACCCTCGTGTGATGAGAGGTGCAGTTTCATTTCATACTAACATTTGATAGAGAATCTAGTTAGTGGTTAGTTAGCTCAGTGGTTCTTAACCTTTTTGGAGCCACGACCCCCATCAGACATTCTTGGTCAGTGCCGTGACCCCCGAAACAAAAATTGGAGAGAAAAAAACCCGATTTAGGGAAATATGTGACGTCTGCCAATACTCAGTCAATGGGATGGCTGAAATTGCTTCGCAACTATCAGGCGATCAAAATTTGTGGCAAGTGCTTTGGGCTTGTGAGCAACCAAATTTATTAGTTTTTGAGGTAAATTCTTTTGTAGCTCCCTGATAATTATATAGCATTTAAATGGATTTGTTTCATTTACGACCCCTTGATGACCCCCAGTAAAACCCCAAACGACCCCCATGGGGTCACGACCCCCAGGTTAAGAACCGCTGATCTAGCTAGTGAGAGCTTGCCGTCGGGCATTCAGTAATGCACGCTGATGATGTGAAACGTTCTGGTTCTTTGTCCATCAAGCTGCGGCCGAGCCACAGGAGCCTCCACTGCCGTTCATAGGTATGAAGGATGTTTGCATGTGATTACAGATAAATATGTTAGCTTTTCCAATTATTTCATGCCTCGCTTTGTGTGCAAGCCGCATCATGATGAGTTCGTACCTATTCGGGTGTAAGAAGTCTGAATCAATACGTGTTATTTATACGTTCTTTTTATGTTCCATACAAGTTTGTAGATGCTACTGTTACATAGTGTCTCTGTGTCTGTGTTTATGTATGTGCGTGAGTGTGCGTGTGGACGTGTGTGTTTCTGCAGACAAAGGTGGTGGTGACACATTGCCTCCTAATGTTAATGTGTATACATGCTGAGTCTATTGTGTCTGTCTATCAGTTTTGGTAGGATGGGGCCTGTTATCAGAGACATAGGTAGTCATGACAGCATGAGTATAAGATGATTTTAAAATGACTTTTAAGTGAACTGTTGTGCAAAAGTAATGACATTTTAAAATCGTAACTATTGTTGGTGTTTCTGGCAACGAGCCTCAGCTCTCCGTGCAAGTATTAGTGACCTTTACAGGTATATGCCTTGGTGTTGGCTTATGTGTAGTGTATGGGATATTAATGTAGAAGCTCAACTAGAGAGCCAACACGTTTAATGCAGTAAACAGATGAATATTTTAACAATGAAAGAAATGCAGATTTTTTATTTAATTACATGCTTAATTCCTCAAGGAAATGTGATGGAAACTTCTCCTAGTGCACTGTAGTGCAGTTTAGTTCAATTTAGTTGGCCAGTATTGATTTTGTAAAAGTGAGATTGCTTTGAAAGCAATAATTTGGAAAGGAGCCCCTTTCAATTCTGTCTGACTTTTCTAAACGTTGCTGAGAAGATGTGATGAATAATTGAATAATTTCATCAGATCTCTATAGTTCACATGCTATTAAAGTTTATCTCAGTTATATCCAAATTAAGTTAAAATTAACTTACACTGATGAAATTTTCGTCCATCTTTCTGATAGACTTCCTCAGGTCTGATATTGAGACATGAGGAAGTCTATCAGAGAAATGGACGAAAATTTCGTCAGTGTAAGTTATTTTTATCTTAATTTGGATCTAACTGAGATAAATTTATTAGCAGATGTGATGAATAGTTGTCAACAGCCGTTTCACTGTGATGCAGTGAGCTAATGATAGCCCATTCCTGTGTCGAAAACTTTGGAGAGAAGTGTGCGATTGCAAGCATGCATGCAAAATTTCTTGCTCATTATCACCAAAAAATTTCATTGCGGGGATGAAAAACCTTTAGTCCGAATGTTTGTTTAATTTCAGTGCTACAATTTCGCGGCATTACATTAATGCACGCTTTCTCATTGATGTACGTAACTAAAGCTCAATTGATTCGCCTGTGTAAATGGAATCAGCCATGCTAAAGCTACGTCTTCAAAAGTAAATGCTCCATATATGAAGCAAATTATCAAGTTCCTGTTATTGTAAGTTTTCTGACAGCTGTGTTACGTTTCTGTCGACAACATTAACATTAGTTGTAAGTACTATCTAGGTATAAACTTGAACTTGTACTTGAACATTAACTGAACGATGTTTCTGACAATGGCCCCCTGATCAATACGTGGCCTGTGCTCGTGTGTGTCATCTCCACTGCATATAGGCAGTCAGCAAGTTGCATTTCCTAGGTGACAACCAAAGATGTGCTATGGGAACCATCCTCAACACTGTTTGAGCTCCTCGTAACACATTTAACCATGTGTTGATTGAGTACGAAATAGTATACTAAAGCTAGCTTGGGGTGTGACCGTGTGATGCTTGAATTTTTCATCCGTGGTGTTAACTCGGGTACCGTTTGGACACAGCCAGAGTTAGTACTGTCTATGGAGTCATGTACGTTTGTGGTTTCATTTCTGGATGCGTGTTCTTACAGAGTGTGCTGGCTGCAACAAAGCATTGCAGGATGGCCATGCTGTGCTGGCACTAGATAAGCACTGGCACGAAGACTGCTTCAGATGCACCTCATGCAACCAGATACTGCACGGTGAATACATGGGCAGGTACGTGAATTACACCTCTCCAGGCACGCATGCACCATATCCTAACCATTCACGTGTAAAGGCATATATGTGTAGTTGAATTACACCCCTGCACACATGGATACCATGCCAGTACCTCGCCCCATCATCACAATTCAAAAGTAAGAGGAGCATGTAGTTGAAGCCCTACCATGCACACTTGCAACTGCCCCATCGATAGCATCCATGCGTGGAGGAATATGCAGGTGAATTGTATCGCATGACACGTGCACACACCAACCTTATCCGCACCGTTCATGAGTAAAAGGCCATGCAGGTGAATTACACATCACCACGTCTGCACACACTTAAAATATTCTCACCGTTGATGAGTAGAGGAGGATGTCATTATTGAATTACACACCACCACACATGCATGCATCCACCCTGCACACACCGTGCAATCCAGCTTATAGTTATACACACCATTCATGAGTTTATAGGATTTTATAGGAGTTTATAACTTCCCATTCCAGCTGCCTAAACTTGCCACGTATGTGCACATGTCAGGCAAGCATTTTCTACCGTCCATAACCATCGTCATCACTAGCTGATCGGGTGGCATGGTTAAGTGGCCCCTGTTTGTACATCAGGGTTCGTAGCGGGTCTTCCAAAGTCTTATAAGTACTTATTTTGCCAAAAATAAAATAAGGGCCCTTATTAGTACTTATTTTTGGTGAAATCTTAGAAAAGTACTTAATAGTCCTTATTTTTTGCAACCTACAATATTTTATATAAATTGTTTTATAAACTGTTCTCGAATTAGAGTAAGAATTGTTGTATATATAATACGGAATAATTATATCTGCTGTGCAATTGTGTATATAAATATTATTAGTGTACTCTAATAGTCGGTGGTCTATCAGAAATCGCGTAAAAAAAAGTCTTATTTTGGCCTCCAGAAAGGGTCTTATAAGTCCTTATTTCAACATGTGTCTTACTACTATGAACCCTGTCTTGGGAGTTGCAGGGAAGGCCAGCCATACTGTGAGAATGACTACCAGAACCTATTTGGTGTGCACTGTGCGGGATGCTTGCAGTACATCACGGGCCGCGTGCTGCAGGCCGGAGACCAGCACTACCACCCGGAGTGCTCCTGCTGCGGCCGCTGTGGCGAGGTCTTCACCGAGGGCCAGGAGATGTTCCTGCAAGGTAGGTGTCTGCCAGGGGAAAAAATTGTACTTTTTTTCACGCGAGCTTTTATTCGTTCGTGGGAAAAATAGCTCTTCGGCTACAATTTTACGGGAGCTAATTTGAGCCTCACGGGAGCGATTTCGGAGGTTTGAAGAGCGAATCGCTCATCGCTCCCGTGTATTTTTGACCCTGTTGTCTGCCTTGGTTACATGGTTACCCTAGGTTTCTGAAACCCAGGGGTCATTGCCAGAAATATTGTTCTGGGATAATTGTGAGTGTTATTATAACGCATGAAAAAAAATATTACCAAGACTAATATTATAACATAACAGATCTAATTGTATCTTGCTGAGTACTCGTATCTGCTCTTCAGTGCCTACATTAGCGTTTTTGCTGAAATTGCTGGATGGTGAAGTGAAAATGGAGTAAATGTAGGTGCTAGAAATGTTGCAGTCCCTTTTATAGTATTCTGGCATGCTGTGTGTAGGTGGCAATACTGTGTGTTATAGCTGCATGAAAGCTGATGATCTCGTAAAAGGCAAACTAAAATGATGTGTAACATGAAACATAAAGTGCACGTCTCCATCTGAAGTAGGTGGTGGCTGCAAATACTCAGCAGGCACTAAATATTAAGAGGAAGCAGATTGATTACACATCATGGAAAAATTTAAAGTGTCATTGTGCTATTGTATTACACCTAGCTTCTTAAGGCTGCGAGTGCGTAACACATGATAGTTGATGTATAATGCATTTACCAGCTAAAAGTTTTATGCTATCTTTCGATATTGTGTTATGAATATCTATGAATAAAAATGGTGACCATCGTTAATATAAACTAATAGAAATGGTGATTTTCATCTATACTAATGATGGGTAATAGCTGCCATAATTAATATTAACAACTGGAAATCACTGCCATCCTTTATATTGTGAACATACAATTGGACAATTTTGCGCAAAATTATACAATTGTGTAAATATGTTCTTTTTAATAATAATGAATGAAAATGGCTGCCGTTGCTAATATCACACACCTATCTATCAGTTGTACAGTTGTGTAGTAATTTCTGTAAAATTATACAGTTATACAATAGTGTAGCTGGTGTCCACATCACGTTAGCATCGTCATGAACTAAGGTGTGTACCTGGCCTTCCTAATGAACTGGTACCATGTAGAAAAACACTGTAGTTTATAAATGGAAAATGGAGAATCTCAGCAGGCTATTGGAAAACGTGTTGTGTTGGGTGTGTGAGCTGTATGCCCTTCACCTTGTGAGACTAGTAAGTTGTTTTCATAGTAGTAAGTTTTCATAGTGCTGCTTGGTGGCTCCACGTTCTTTCACAAATGACATCATTGTTGTCCCCTATCCTACCTAATATTTTCTTAACCGCGTTTCTAGTTTAGAAGCCACCTCATCGCTCTTGCCTGTGTGCTCCCAGCGGTAGAGGTCCTGTTCTGTATGGTAATCTATGATGAGCCGTCTAGCCTGTTCACTCCCTTTTTCTGTTGTTCTTGCTGCCGTCAATATTGATTTGTGGGGAATTCATCTATATGCACCACATCACCACAGAGCTGGAAGCGTGAAGCGAGGTGGCTAGCAGCAGACTCGGTGACTGTGCCTTGGTGTGTGTGTGTGCGCGTACGTACGTGCGTGCGTGCGTGCGTGCGTGCGTGTGCGTGTGCCCCCCACAGAAACTCATCGTCACATTGTTTTTACATTGTAGGTTCTGAAATCTGGCACCCTCATTGCAGCAGTGTGAAGAAACCTCGTGGGGTGAGTGCACTTGCCGTTTCTATACGATAAGTGTTCCGTATTTATGCAAAGGGGGGGAGGGGCGGTCAATTACGTATGAAGGAGAGGAGTAATTCGGTGACCTACCGAAAGAGTGGCATGAAGGAGGTTCTCGTTGACGTGCAGAGTGACTGTGTTGCATGGTGCAGCAGTCGCGCCCCGACCTCACCGACAAAATTCAATGTACCTTCAAAAATTATTCATTCTTGCACAAAGAAATGAAACACGCGACGGCACGTTGCGACTGAGCAGAAACTTTGCAGGATGTTCGACTGCGGGGCATGGGCAGCTCTCGCGAGTGCACCTAGCTACAGCTGTTTATGGCTCGTGAAAGCTCGGTGTTTTTTCATAAGTCACTATTAGCCATCCAAGGGTGTGCGTTGGAAATGCAGTGGTGCCTACGTGGAGAGAGACAAAACCTCCAGAGTAATGTGGTGAATTATAAAATGGGTGGTAACCATGGTAACAGGCCGCTGATGGCAATTGGGTAGTGGTGCAGAATGTTTTTTGGTTCGGTTGTTAAAGCAACTCGGTGCACTTGCATGCGATATCACATTATTTATACCTAAACTATTGATAAATACACACGATTTGTGCATCTTGCAGTAGTTGTTGAATGCAGTAAGGTATTTGTCCATTAATCCAGAATTTGTAATGCCACATGTATGTAGAACGTTATCCACACTTAAACTTTTGTATAGAAAGCATATCCTTGAGACCGCTTGCCTACCCGCATGCATGCCAGCCCTGTTTGCCAGGCTGCCTTCTTCCTGAACTATATAGTGCCCTGCCATATAGCCTACCTCAGCTTGCCAACTGCTTGCAAAATGGCTGCGCACGCAATGCTAACATGTCTGATGCTTTGCCTGCCTTGCTTGCATTTGAGTTGGTTTGTTTTGTTTCTAATTTTTCAGTCTATTGATCATAGTGGTTCAGAGCGATCGTTTTCTAGGGACTCTAGTCCCTACAACAGCCTAAGCAGAAAGGTTTGTTCAGTGTCAATGTTTAGTTGTCATAGTATCAATGTTTTTAACACTAATCCAGTAGTTGTGGAAAGCTTGTCGGGTTTTGATTGCCAGTGTCATTTTGCCGCATGCACTGATACATGCGCACAAGCCCATATTTTGTGAAAGGGTTTTGGGAACTAGTTTTCACTTGAGAACAGCATACCCCGTACAGACTGCAAATTTGATCCTACATCAAATTAGTCCGGGCTAGGCGCGCGCTAAGTTTTTGCAGTGTGTACATATTATCCCCAGGAAAATACGCGCTAGTCCGGATAAGTAAGCCCCTGCTGAATTGTGCGTGTACGCAATCTGGGGCCAGGAGCGGGCTAAATTTCAATATATGCATACGCGTAACCTTGCTTGGGTCACATAATAGTACAGTAGCTTATGAAATTGTGTCTGCAATTTTGTTTTTGATCTTCATTTTACTAAAATCTAATTACAACTTGGCCAGAAGAATCTATTCATAATGTATGGGAAGGCAGACGTACGAATGTGCACGTTTACAATTCCGTTGCTGATCAAATGGCTCAATTGAATTATAATCGGATAACCAGATTTGATTATACGCTGGTTGCAGCTTCTGGTGTCTATTCAATCACCTGTTAAAATTCTTCCTCTTCTGCTATTACAATAATACAGTATAAATCCTAATAATGCTTATCGGCAGTACTGTTGTTTAACCATCATTTCTGTCTGCTGCGGGACTTAACAAGCTAAACTGAGCATGCACAGTCAACCCGTGCTAACTTAGCCCGGTTGTGTCTGTATGCTGCAATTTTGCGCGTCTGGCCCGGGCTTGGCTCAGACTAGTTTGAGTTGGAATCAAATTTTGCAGTCTGTACGGGGTATGGGGCTGTAATAGTGTGGAAATAATGAAGATATATTACAACCTTTCATTGATGAATGGTGACAGGCAGATTGCGTTCTCACGTGCAACTTGTGACATGGTAATCGTTTAATAATCCAACTCGTTATTAGTTACTTTGTGTAGTGTGTTACTTATGCGCTTAACTAGTGTATATGTGTTTTTCTGGTAATGTAGAGGTATTTTTTATTATAAATAGTATTGGTGGAATTTTTCTCCTCAGAAATCTTTTTTGGGGCATTTTTGTAGTTTGTATCAAACGTGAATTTTGTATTACTGTGTTATTAACTTCGTAATACTGTGTGTTTAGCCATGTATGTTTTGGCGTTCTATCGTCATGTACTTCACGGGTGCTAATAATTAACAGGATGTATTCTAAAATCATTGTTTACAACAACATTGACAGTACGAATTTGTTTGGCTGATCGTTTGTTCTTGTTAAAAAGCTTTTTTTAGACTAAAAGATTAGCAGGCAGACAGAAATGTCGTATTCTAACATTGCTGTAAGACAAAAACAAACAAACAAATAAATTACTAGGAGACCAAAAACCACTTTAGCGATCAGCGAGTGGTTATAGTGATTAATTTCCTACTCTGACAAAGGCTCACAACGTGTGTAAGGTAGGTGAATGCAACATGCATGTGACTTCGTGATAGCAGATACATTGTTAAGTGGTTTGGTGTGGACTGCTGTGCAACCAGCGACAGGATATAAGGTTATGTGATGCGTGTCGTTACTGATGCATCCTGCTTTTACATTGTCTTCAGTATTCGACCCCTCAGGAGCCGAACAAGTACGAACCGAAATTCGACGTCGACTTTGGATCCAAGATATACATCGAGAGCTACATGATGCCAGAGCCATTTGAGCCATTCGACAGACTCAAAACAACAATCTCCGCTAAGCCTCCCAAGTCCCCTCACTTTTACAGACCAGGTAAATGTTTTAGCAGTCCCCAGGGGGTCGTTGCCAGAAAATAATTAGTCTTAACATTAATCTTAACATTAACTGCGACTCGTAAACCGTTGACAGAAATATCGTAAAGTTACGAGGACGAAAATCCTCGCAAATTCCCTCTTAACGTTATGAGATCCTAGAACTGCTCCTAACTTTAAAACCGAGATGAAAATAACGCAATTGCAATTATAGTGGTTTTATATTCCATATTAATTAGTAAAACGCGCATTTCATGGAAAACACTTCAGAGTCTGACATTACTTTTGCGCTGATCGTGTACCAAAACATACATTTACAAGTGGCGGTTGTTCTCTTGTTCTGGATATTTTGATGAGTCATGACGCCCGCATCTTGTGTTGCTGTGCAAAATAAATTCGTGAGCGTGTCGTTTTTCATGAGATATTATTTATATGTGATTAACCATTATAATATGCATAAATTGCTATTATGTACAATAAATGTGAAAGGATTTGAGTTTTGTGATCGATTTTAATCAAATAAGCAGCCATGTGACACCAAATTATCAAGTGTCTGTCATCATAAGTTTTCTTATAGCTGCAATGCACTCCTGTCAATGCTATTCTTGTAACATTAACATTAGTCGTATGTGCTATCTTAGCATTAAATTAGCGTTAACTATGATGTTTCTAACAACGGCCCCCATGGCTGTAGCCTTGTAGCGGGTAAGAGGCAGGCGGCCCCTATATTTTGAAGGGGGAAAAATAAAATTCTAATATATATAAATAATCTTGAAATATGTGTAAATCGTCATATAGTCGCTCGTGAAATCCTCATTCCACCCCACACTTCATTAGCCATCTGAGTGACAAAAAATTTTCCCTAGTGATCGTCCCCAATTGGTGGCACCGAGTGTCTAATTTCCTTGTAACGTTGTTGGTGTCCTCGCTTTTTCAGAGAAGCTCAACTTTGGCAGCAAAGGCATTTATGCGAGGCTAAGTGGAGCTCCCCGAACAGCCATGGCTGTCCTTGGTAAGTTTAGTTGTCATCACGCCATGAAAATATTTTGAAAGGCAGGCATGATTCATGAATGTCATTAATCATAAAGATAAGTGCACATAATAAGTGGGCACGGCGCGTAAGTATCCACTCGATAAGTGCAGTGCAGCAAGCGTGTAGATGGTTGTAGAGTCGGCGCCATTGTGATTAATAGCTGGTGTACGGTATAGTCTGTGCAGTGATTGAGGAATAGGTTGAAATAGTGTTTTTAGCTCATCTGACGTAGTCAGATGCAGCTTGTAGAATCGCATGATTGTCCGTCCGTGCGTCAACAGTTGGGCACAAATCTTAACCGCTGGACGTACGGTTACGATATTTGGGATGTTGGGGGGGGGGGATCGTGAAAAGGATTCAGGGTGACAAATTTGGGGGTCAAGGGTCAAAGGTCAAGATGTGTAAACGGAGGGGGAATATTTCCCCCTTAACTTAAAGTATAGGAGGAAATACGGAATTGCGGAACAAATCTTAACGGCTCGACCTATGCGCCTAATATTCGGTGTCTAGTGTGATGGGCAGGAAACCCATCACCAGTGCGAAATTGGAGGTCACAGGTCAAAGGGCAGTGGGGGAAAGGTCAGATATCAGGCATTTTCTGAGGACATGGCCTAATGGACAAGAGTGGAAAACTTTTTTGTTTCAGCGCTGACCTACCATTTTTATCACTTTATTGAAAGGACCATGAAATGTGCTTTCCACTGACGTGCGAAGAGTAAGTGTCTGATAACCTTTTGACCCTCAAGAGGAGGGTTAAACATGGATTCCTGAACTGCCTCAATGATGTCACAGTGTTCTCATATTCATGGCACATCCATAATCTAGAAAGCCAATAAACCTGGATAGCCAAACGGCTAGAGCACAGGCGTCACGGCTCAAAGGTCGTTGGATCGAATCCCATCAGATTTTTTATTATTTACCTGTTTTCTGTATTTTTATATCTTTATCCATTTAACTATATTTTTCCAATTAATGCAAATATTTACATGATTTATTTACAACAAATAATTTTTACAACAATTAATTTTTTTTTTTTAATAGGGTTAGGGTTAGGGTCACAATGCACCATAAAACAGGAGTTTCAGGCACGCGATTTGTATCAACCAATGGGATTTGGGAAGTATGCAGAATGCAGAAGGTTGCTGAAATGATGTGTGCACAACTGTATATCTGCGCCTAACAAAGGTGTCACTACGCACGACTTAAATGTTACGTTTATAACCGTAGCAACAGACCTCAGATGAGGCTAGACGCTCTGCGGCTCTTGTTGATACTTATAACCACTGTTGGTGATCGTTACAGCTGACACATGCAAAGAAACTGTGGCCCGGCCTAGGTCTCCTAGCATGAACAATGAGGAACCAATCAATCTCGCGCATTTCCCCGGTGCCCACGTCCCCAGCGGTGAAGAGGTAGCACATCCCAAGATCGAACGAGACGATTGGCCGGCGCCACCATACGCTCCGGTTTTGCTGAAGAGGGATGGAGTAGATGGCAAGGTAGAAGCAGATGATGAAGATGAAGTCCAGGAGGACCCAAGAATTAAGAAAGAGGAGGAGATGCTGAGTAAGATCAACAGTGGCATGAGCGATATCTTCCTTAAGGTAACTATAGTTACTCATTCTACATTTACTCCGCCGTTCAACACATTACTAAATCGGTTCCCTCCACACCCCCCACACCCCCAAAGCTTTCATTTTTTAATAGTGCACGTTTTTCCTCCACACACTACTGATCGTAATGCAAAGCACCGTCTTGGCTATCATTGCGAGTATTACTTCTGATGTCTAGGATATTAAAGAAAAGAAGGCAAAGATGCAGCAGAAGCCAGTGAAGGTCGATCCACGGAACGCTTCCAGAGTTGCCTCGGCCAAGAAGGAGCTGCCGATCCCGCAGCGATACGAGTCGCCCGTCAATGCTTGTAAGTTCACCGTTAGGCTTCTTTGCATGCTTGACTGCCTCCGTTGAAAAAGCGGTGAGTGAGCATGGGGGAGTGGGAGGTTCAAAAACAAGAGATTCACATATTGTTGACAGCTGATATCATTGGCTTTTCCCCCCCGATTTTTGAGGATAATAAACAAACTTTTAACAAATAATTCGCGTCTCCACTTGGGTCATAACTGTTGTATTTTGACCATGTATCATTACAATGATTTGTGAATGTGGGTGTAACCTAACAAATGTTATACCGATGTATACTCGTTTATACCGATTTTCGACTTCAAATTTTGGCATAATCATGGAAAATCGGTGGAAGTGAGAAAGAATGCGTGTCAACCTCCTTTGTGATTGTTTATCCTGATGCAGGGTTCTTGTTAATAGCCGGTAACCGGTTATTTTTACCGCCTATCACGCAATTTGTTACCGGCTATCAATTTGAGAGAAACTCCCACTAAAGGCGGTAAAATATTTAATCCATATTTGAAAAAACGAAGTTTATTTTAAATACTTCCAACCCAAGACTAACTCTGTGCATGGGCGGGTTTTTCTTTTTATAATAGATACTTAATAGCATATATTTTTCTATCTAAACTACCAAATTCTAGAACCCATACCCATCAAAATAGGCTATTTGTGGGTCAAATCAGAATTTTTTTTCTGGGGATGCATGCCCCCGGACCCCCCTAGCAGGGCTTCGCGCCTTCGCCGCTCGCCCTACCGTCCGTGCCGGAAAAACAGTTACCTGCTATTCATTGTCAAATTACCTGCTTTGTCAAAAGTTAACAAGAACCCTGCTGATGTATGTATATATATATATATAACCTGGAACGTGTGACATATATAACCATCATAATAAGATAGGCGACTAATATAACTGGTGATACCATGGTAATATAAATCGTAATGAATAGAAGCTCTGCACATTCTGTAATCTGTGTTTACGGCATGTTTCAGCCCCTTCACGAGTGTCGGATCATCCACGGCCGTGGCTAATGGACGATGCATCAACCTTCTCACGTGGTACAGTTTACAGGTCTTCCATGCCTGGCCTCATTCAGCAGCATGGAGGTGAGTACTAACATAATATATCTATATATATATATATATGTATATATATGTATATATATATATTCATTACTAGCAATATGCAGATCTACTGAGCAGGGGCCCGTCCACACACGTTCATGTGCATAGCTCTGTCTGTTGACGAATGATTTTCCCGGGTAGTTCTTACAAGCCTTGCTCGCCTCTCTTTTGCTGTACTCCGTTTGTTGTACCTATACGGGAGGGTAGCCCTCTTATGCTCCACCTGCTAATACTCATCTATGTTCACTGTATCAAGCCTGAAATTGACTACGTCACGAATTTTCTATGGTGTATATTTTTAACAATTTTGTTGCCGTTTATTAACATTAAATGTAAGTACTAACGGGACTAAATGTATCGTCAAATTCTTACCAGATAAGATTGTTTCTCAACTAGTTAAAAATCCAAAAAACCTGGACAATTTGATATTATGATCATGACATTAAATGCTTGCTATGGGTTATGTATGAGTCACGAGTGTATGTTTACATCGAACAATATAGTAAAATAGGAAGTATAATGCAGCAATTTAACCATAAAAAGTGAACAGACGTACTTACATTTTGTGAAAAAGTGGAAATGTTTTTTTTTACTTTTTACTATTTACGGTGACATAATCACTTTAAAGCCATAATTTTGAGCATAATCTCGTGTTTTCTGATTGTCATCGTGAGCAATTTTTTTCAGACCCTTCTCCAGGAAGAGGCATGACTTCACCCAAGTCAGCAACCCTTCCTGGCAATGTCAGGGCAGCAGTGCTAGTACGTACACAGAGTTCTTATAATGATCCGATGATTATTAATATCATTTAATTATATATTGGAAGGAGCGCTAATTAATCAAAAGGTCTAATGACTAAGGAAGCAAGAGTGTAGTCAATATTTAATAAAGTGGGTGGATTTTTTATGGTGCAGTTTCACTGCATAGGTCGAGAGAGCAGCAGCCATTAAAAATTCTGTAAGTCGTGTACATTCATTATGGATGGTCGTACTTGCTAAATGTTGGTGCAGCTGTCATGAATAATGTGCTAGTCCATCGTTGTATAGACTTCCAATTCTTCTTGAATTTCAGAATGACACGAGGGACACTAGGAGCTCCCATTCTGCATGTAAGTAGTTGTAGAGTGTGTGTGTGTAGCAAACTGCGCGTAGTGCACTATGGTGTGGAACATTTAGAGTTGTGTATCTACCCTAAAGTTGCATTTGTATCTGTTCCATGATCGAAGAATATAGTAGTAGTATTTATAGATGGTTACCATTAACCATCGTCAAGAAATCTTTGTGCATAGTGGTGATGTCTGCATTTAGCACTCCCATTCTCCACTGCAAATTTCGATTCTGTTATTGCTGCCTATATGTTGTCGTGTGGTATCTGTTTGTCACTTCTCCGATTCTCTACTGCAGATTCAGACTCCGAGGCTGACCAGGTGTTTACAGATGGGCCAGAAAGGAACGGCTACGACGTATACGAAAAGTACCCTAATGCCGTCCACCATCGACGATCGCTCCCCAACATCGGGTCGGACCCACCAAAGGTATGTGCGGGCAGAGCTGCAAGCGAAAGCACAGAGGCCGTATTTCTGATTTCGTAGCACATTAGAAGTGAAAACAAGGAAATGACATTTAGCATTAACAACAAAAAAGTTTCAATGCTCAGTAAATAACATGATTGCCATGACACATCAATTTAGAGAAAAACCTGCAAATCCCAACTGATCCACAGCTAAACACAGAGCAGGATTGCCTAACCACCCAATCACTGCTGTAGATTGCATTGCCAATAAATCCTTGCCACTATTAATCTTAGTAACCAAAAATCGGAGTAAATTATGTATGGCCTTGCTTGCTAAATATCACATAGCATTGAAGATTTGATATGACCTGTTAATATTATGTTTACCTGAAGAGTCGAGTAACAGTTATATGTGTCCTGTAGATAGTTCACGTTGTAAAAGTGTATTATAAGATAGTAGTTCAGAAAGAGGTGATGATGTAGTGAGTTTTTAGCATGAAAGTGTGTTCTAGATCTCACTGCTCTACTACTACTACTGTGTCTAGTAGAGAAAAAACATGGGAAATGTTTATTGATGCAAAATATTCATAGTGCTCACAATTGATCTACATTTCCAGCTGTACCCATACCAGGACCTAGTAACTTCAAATAAGAATAAATTGGCAGATGACATTGACAGAGGACACCTTGAGGTAGGCCGTAGTTGTTCATGTTTAATAATTAATCGAAAGTACATTATATGAATAATTCACAAGCTACAGTGCATTCCTAGTTGCTGCCTTCATGTTACATGCAATCCATTGCGTAATGTTAAAATCATGAGTAATATTAAAAACAGAAATGCCATACTGTGACAATATTTTGTAAGTAATTCACACACCATTTGATATGTTGTGATTATCAGGCAAAGAAGGTGAAATATTTACTTGAATATCATCAGTAGAAGACAGGTTATTGCCACCATAACCCATAGAAGCAGTTTGATATGTCAGGCCCTACGTACTACTTCATTCTCGTCTCTGGTTCTTGCAGCATCATCTGGCTGGAGAAGAGTTCCAGAAGCTGTTCAAAATGACACCGATAGAATTCTACAAGCTGCCGCTCTGGAAACGGCATGCAGTGAAGAAACGTCTGCAGTTGTTCTAGCCTGTGTTGTGATTACCCTGGCTGACAATCACACCAATCAACAAGGTTGTCCTGCTGTCGAAGTTGCCTGCAAGACAGTAGTGGATCATGTGCACTAATATCATTGCTTTAAAAAACATTGAAACGTTGTTGCCAGTGTGGGTGTATGTCTATGTGTATGTGTGTGGGTCTGCTGTGTGTCTTTGTTTGTGTTTTTACCTGGTGTCCAAGGACCTTCGTGGCTGTGTCTGTTAGTCATGGTGTGGGTGGAGTGGGAAGAGCAGGAATTAATGAGTACCTCTCTACACACGTGTACAACTAAGAACATGTCAGGTAACTGGTCTCTTGTGTCTTGCAGTCCCTTGGCACCTTCAACATTTCTTGTTTAGGAGGATATGGTTCTTGCGTGCATGGCAGAATTGTCGTAATTTTGACAGTAAAAGAGAGTAGTAGCGAACATTGTATGCAGGAACAACAGGGGTTGGAATTGAATTTATTGCAGGTGTTTGTATATCCAACTAAATGTGATTGTGGACAATTCACCAATGAGTGTGAGCTTGGTTCATGGCCTGGGTTTGCAGGGTTTGCCAATACCTTTATTGCGGTGCAAACTTCGTGTCCCTGTTCACATCTCGTCAGGCACGCACACGCACACACAGACACATACACGTGCGTGTGTACGTACATAGGGTCTGTGTACTTAACTATTCATTCCCATAGTGTACCTGGTTGTACTACTTCCTGTACTGATAATCCCTTAAGATTTCAAATATATTAAATATTATTCATTAAACCAGGTGTAATGTTGTTAGACACACTACTAGAACGATGCTTGTCTGCCTTCTAATTGCCTTAAGAAAAGGAAAACGAATAGCTTAAACTAGAACGAAGTCTTCGCTGGACGGTGCTGCATCAGTGTTTAAACACCGCTGCAGCCATGAAGTGGACAGAGGTCTCGCAAAGGGTTGTGATGCATGTTTTAATAGTTATTATTGTAACCTGGAGATGGCGCTAGTGCTAGGCTGAGGGATGAAGCAGGAGTATTTATCGAAATCCTGATCATGACGATGTATGAATGTAAGACATTTTTAATATTTTTCTTCCATACAGCCATAGTCACCAGTACACATCACCAATTTACTAGTTGTTGTTTTACTAATATACAGATGAATATTAGGCTATGTGTGTTATTATGTTGCATTATTAATCATGGTTGTGTAGAGTACAGGATTGATTTGGTAGGGTAACCCCCTGTTTAGGAGTAGGTGATTGTGGTTTATAGACGTCCTGAAGTATACGGAATTCAAATGGGCGTCAAACGTACAAAATATTTTACCCCTCGATTATAAAGGTAGTGCGTTCATTTACAGTAACCGAGCAGGGCATTTTGTGTAGTCTAGATTTTGGATTTAGGCCCCTTACCTTTAGGCATTCAGTTTGCTTCATCTACGTTTACCTGCGGTAGATGTTTTTGCCTCCACACACTGATTTTGCTGCAGGTTTGCACACGTATCGTTTGTATGGATTTGTTTTTGACCATATACAATAATATAATGCGAATGCCTGCCTATATAGTGACACCAGTAAAAAATTCTTTTGTAATTTAAGCACGGAAAGGCCTCCAGTTTTTATATGGCTATAAATTTTGTATAGTTTTGTCATTTTTTATTTATTAGTTTTACTCTCTTACCAGTTGCTTGAGGTACCAATGCAAGGTGATCTGAGAGTTGCAGGAGATGCAGGGATGGCGGTCACGTGTCTAGAGCTAGATAATTTTGATAATGACTATCAAGTTCTCAGTGTTCTCGCCTTCAGAACTTGAGTTGCCAGGTTGTGCACATTGTGTGTAGATGTCAGAATCGAGTTCTGAAGACAGTCCCCAAATCGACTAAAGTTTGCGCTTACGTGTGTGCCCTAGAATGCTCGTTGTAAGTGTGACATTAGAAATCAGCTTATATATATATATAGTCTCAATGCGTATGTGTAAAGGTTTCCTTGGAGCGGAGGTGTATTTTCATGTTGAAGTGCGGCTTCACCTCTCGGCACCGTCATGCCTCGTGTTTTTGGCATGACCAGCCCACATTCTACATCTGTAGATCTCGTATACTATCCTACTACTATGATCAGCCATCGGTGTAGCTATCCTACTACTATGATCAGCCATCGGTGTAGCTATCCTACTACTATGATCAGCCATCGGTGTAGCTATCCTACTACTATGATCAGCCATTGGTGTAGCTATCCTACTACTATGATCAGCTATCGGTGTACGTACGCCTCGTTGCTCGTCAATGCAGCGCTGTAGTGTGTGCTTTTATTGGGGACTGTCACCGCTGGTTAGTGCAAGAGAGAGTAAGAGAACATGCAGAGCAAACCGCGGTAGAGCTCAGAGCTTATTGCAGCAGATATGCATGCAGTGTGTTATGAAAAACTATCATAATAATATAATAATAAAAACTGTCTTCTCAGAAAAGCATTTGATGTCTTGGTGTCTTATTTCATAGAGTTCTTGGAGGATGACATATTTACAGTTAACATGAGAGGTTAAATTATTTGTTCTTGCACTGGTGCCTTGTTCATTCACTGTACTCACTTAGGAATCGTATAACCAGTAGCTTGGGAGTTGAAGTTACTTAATTGCCTGCAATTTTGATATAACAATAATGCAGCATTACTACATTTGCATCGTGGTGTTAAGAACTATGCATAACAAAATAACACAAACTTTGCAAATTTATTGTATAAGCACGTTAATACCGTTTAATTGGTGCATTTTAATGTACAATTTCACGTTACGCCACGGGAAACCCACTTCACATGCTGTGAACGGTTCATTTAGATGCATGGCAAAACCAAATAGTATCTAGTGGATATGATAGAGTCAACTAATTATGTTGACGTGAAATTTTAACCATCTTAACTTCTCGTATCAAAAATTTAGTCGTTGCCTGATAATGCAACATCAGCTAACCGATCTTTCACAAAATGGATACTCGTAGAAGGAATGCGATGGGCGAAAAAGGAGACCGTCACACATTTTCCACTGCTCCGATCATAAATCCACTACTGCTTCCTTAAATTAAGACCGTGATAGCAGATTTAAATGACTAACACTGCAGCGTGAGAATTATGCAACATAGCCCATAGTGTAGTCAATTATGGTCCAGTGTATGAACCATATCAAGAGCCCATTAACCCCAGAGCGTACAACGCTGAAATAGGAAAACCACGGTGTCGTTTCAGCAAAATTAATAAAGTTTACCTACATTATTTCGATACTTCTCTACCGGAATATTATGCAGGAGTCCTAGCTAGCCAAAATAAGATCAACCGCTTGTCTCTACGATGTTCCTATGCCGAGATATAAAGCGATAAAAATCGAGTACTTCTAGGTAATCCTAGCGCCATATCACCCAGTATCACGCCTCTCCCACGTTTAGTGACTGCATAGATATATACAACACATGTTACACACAACAAAACATATGTGTTGTATATATCTAGGCAGTCAGTAAACGCGGGAGAGGCGTGTTACTGGGTGATATGGCGCTAGGATTACCCAGACGGACTCGATTTTTATCGCTTTATATCTCGGCATAGGAACATCGTAGAGACAAGCGGTTGATTTTATATTGGCTAGCTATGGCTCCTGCATAATATTCCGGTAGAAAAGTATCAAAATAAGGTAGGTAAACTTTATTAATTTTGCTGAAACGACACCATGGTTTTCCTATTTCAGCGTTGTACTCTCTGGGGTTAATGGGCTCTTGACCATATACAATCTAGCACTCTATACCTAACAGTATTGACACTGCCAGTCTAGTCTGATGTGCGTTTATAGCTCACAATAAATATGTACACGTTGATCCAAATTAACTCGCACTCCATATAAACTGTCACACATATGACATGTATGATATATAATAAAATATGTTTACCCATACACTGCCACAACATGGCTCGATTGCCAAAGCTTTTACTTCATACTAAGATGGAAACTGCATGACCCTTCCAGCTTCCACGAATGTGCAACAAACTTCAGTATCACGGAACTAATGGAGTACGCAGACTACTGCCGGCAAATCTTAGAGATCCAATGGTTGGACGTGACCATTACACATTATGATTTAAACAACGTTCCTTCAAATAGTGTGAGTACGTGCAAGGCAATCGTGACTATGTACTGTATTGTATCTGACTGTGTGGAAAGCTGTAGCATACACATTGAACTTACACGCTTTCATTCCTGCTGTCTTGTGCTCCTGCGTGAATCACAGCAACTAGGAGTAAGGGTATTAGTATTTACACGAATACTGATTAATTACGTGCATCTAGTGGTGTGCAGTTCCTACTATAAGCCATCCAAAGGGCTGCAATCTTGATCCGAGGCAAAGCATCTGGCAATCATAAAATACGCCTATACACAGTTCCACAAGTGCAACAGCGCATCAGCTCAGAAAGTAGGGGATGAAGCACCGCAGCTGTTGTCTGCCACTGCTTTGGCTTGCTGATGGCTGTCCTTGTTCACGCTCGTCATCGCGCCAGCTCTGTCTGTCCTCCTTGCGGCGTCACCAAACTTTTGGCGACTTTGCGGCTGGTCAGCACCTATCGGTTTGCTCGGAATGTCTTCTACTCGGGTCTTGGCAATGTCGGAGAGATGCAGGAATGGATCGGTGCGCGTCCTTTCGGTGCAGTCTTGCGTGGATAACACCCGGGTGGAGGCGCGCGTCGGCACTAGTGACTCCGTCTTTGGCACGTCGCTCGCATCCGTCACCATTGTGAGCGGATTATCAAGTGTCATCAAGTCCTGCTGGTTGCTACTGCTGATCACGGATGCACTTTCGCTAGGGGGTGGAGCCTCCCAGAAGCTTGCCTCATCACTCAGGTCAATGAGCATGTCTATTTCAGGAACAACCATCGAAGGGCTTGCTGGCGGTAACAACCCAGCCCGTTCTGAAAGCAGTTTCTTGTCAATTATTGGCTGTATTCATTAAAGCACTCTTAGTTTTGAGTCGTGTTTATAATGACCTCAAAAAACGATCTACCATACATTTCAATACATTGGCATTATATTAAATAAAAATTAAAATTAAACATACTATAATTTTATTCAGTATCTGATTTTCTTGTGTTTCAAAAACTTCGACGTCAGCCTCACTCGATACACTATAGTTTCTAGGTTCCTAGAAATTCCACACATTCCCATTACATTATTATGGAATTTATACTTCCTCAAGAAAATAGTCAAAGAAGTTGTCATACCATGTTCTCGCTCACTAATCTTGTGCTCAAGCTCAGTGATCTGTCCATGCAGCATTCCTATGCTAGCCTCACGTTCTATAACTTCCCTTGACAGAAACTGCCAATTAATTAAAAACAAGTGATACATAAAAGATTACATTTATGAATGATATGAACTCAACTTCTCCAATTTACATTTTAACGTGTGTCAAGATTTAAAAAATAATGTACTGAACGTTTTTTTTAAATAATAAAATTTGTCAATAACAAGTTAAAAGATGTGAAACTTTTTTAGGTTGCATCTCACCGCTAATCACAATCGCAAGGAAGTTTATATCTAATAGACTGTACAACAGCAGACAGAGATAACCTTATCTTACCTCTAATTGTGAGAGCAATGATGTGTTTATGTCCCTAACAGCATGAACACCAGGTAGTGCCGCGGCCTCATCTGTTTCCAATACATTACGACGACTGGAAAGATTAACTAATGTAAATTTTGTGTGATTTCATCAGTATAGAATCTGTGGGGGCTCAGTTACTAATCACTATTGAAGGTCATTACTGTAAGTTTCATGCATTTTTTTTTATATAAACTGGATCTACTACTACACTATTACTCTACGCAATATTTTATGGTGCAAAATTTCCTAGAAATAATTTGTCTTTATTTTTAAAACCACTGATGATCGTTTTACAACACAATAGCCCGGTGCAATACTAGTTGTGCTGCTCTAGTAAAGTAGAATAAATAAAGTTTTCAGCCACAGGCAACAGCCCAAGAACGTTTCTGATTTAATGAATAGAAGAAAGCTTTCATCTAAGAATGACTAATTAATATAATAGAAGGATTGCAATATCTTATATTTCACTATTAGTTGGTTTAAAAGTGGTTTTCCTTGTGTGGCCCTTGAATACAGGATTGACTGTATCTTAACTACTCAATCCTATCAATGCTACAAGCAGTTTCCTACCAGGCAGACTCTACGATTTGGTTGTATATGCTGTTCTTGACGTTCAAAGGATTGCTGCTCTTCGTGACGTAGTCCGAGTGGCAGGTGTCACCGAGATTTGTAACCTTTACTGGTAAATTACTGAAAGACCTGAAAAAGCAAAGTGAACATTTGGGCATTTTTATGATTCTTATTATTATCATTATGATTATATGTAATACCTGGATAAGCAATAATCATAATATAAGGAGTGAATAAAACACTTGTTTTCATTCACTCCTGATAAGTTCACGTAGTTCATAAGTTCATATAGTAATGTATGTTGGTGTCTATGCAAAGTGGGACTTTGCATAGACACCAACATACATTACTATATACTGCTAGTTATATGTCGTTAAAAAACGCATGAAATACTAGCGTCAGGGTAACCAGAGCTTGACACATTACTGCCGTGTTTGAGCGAGGGTCCACAGCGATCTTCCATCGACTGTTTAATCCCTTATTTACTTGCTTCACCCTCCAGCTGCTGCTCTCCGCCCAGACACACACCTTCCGTTATAAATCATGAAGCTGTTATCGGCGGAGTGGGTGGCGTGATTGGACGACGTGGAGGCAGTGAGCAGCGCATAGACGAACGTCTTCGGCTGCACGTCTGGCAGAAGGTCGAGCAAATCGGCGTGGATGACGCGTTCCCGCAGCGACACACACATCGAAGAGTTCCTGCGAAACCTGTACCAGCCAACAACGCTCTGCAGAAAGCGATGGAAGCCATTTAGTGAACCTCATTCAAGTTGATTTTTTACTGAAAGTTTATTCGCTGTTACCTTATATGTTCACTCTTATATATTCAGCATTACATCTATCTTCATTTTAATGTTAGCTACCACCATAAAAGCACTAAACACCTGGGCAATGTGTAAATAATAATCAACTAATTAATGCAGAGTCATGACAGAGGCTCATACGAATGGGCTTCCTCCTGCTTCTCTATTGTTATTTGGTGCATGTTACATAAACATGTTACTCTGATTTCCTAGACTTCTTTTTAAGCAGAATATTGTAACCATTTTATGATGTAGCAACCTGATCATAAATCAATACAAAATCAATAGAATTTCAGTAACCTTGAAGCAGTCTTTTAGCAGTGTTCCCAGCTCATTCTTGAGGATGTGTCCTCTAGCATCGTAGAAGCTACCTATTCTCTGACATGGAAGAAATGACTGAACATCTGAAATGTATATTGAATGTCAAAACATTAAAAAATAATTAAGGAAAACACTTACTTGCTTAACATGGTATGAATCAAGCACCTATCGACTATAGCCTATTCAGTAATATAGATACCAGAATACACCATCCCATAAGTTGAGATACTAGACTGGAAGCATACCCAGAGGAAAAATTATTTCTTGCTAAAATGGAAAGAAAATCACTTACTGATTATCTTCTCCTCCTTACGTATGTTACAGTCACCATCTTGTGGCGTGTCTGTGAAGCAGCTATTCACCTCTCCCAACAAGAAACCTTCCTGTAGTTTACACAACACTATATTAGTTACTCACCAACAAACAGCATATTTATAATATGTAAATGCTATAACACACAGTGCCTTTAGAGCGGACAAGTTTTATAAATCTATATCCTGTTTTTCCCCAGGAAAACAAATATCGGATATAAATACCACATACAGATAACACCTCAACTTCATTATAGTTACATTCCTGAAAAAGGACGTGTAAATAAAAATTGTAAATCAAACAATGCAGACCATAGAGATTACGAACATAATGTAGATTCTTAATAATGACTTATGTAGTGTCTAATTGTAACACATTCCTGCCTCCACCTCAATACTAGCAACACAATCTTAATACAAGGGAGGCGCAGCCAGCACAGGTCCCACAACCCCACCCCCTAATATTTGCCAAGTGTTCTGTACTAGCTGACTGATAAAACAGACTCTAAAATAAGATATGGCCACTCACAGTCATTCCATTTCGCTGGAACAATAAATTTAAATTATCTGTTTGTCTACGTGTTATGTCATAAACATAGTAGACTGCAATCATAGAATGATTGCCTGGAAGTAAGTACATCTAGGCTTATATGTACATGTTTTGTTGTGTTTGCCTTCAAAAATAGGCGTGATTTTTTTAGGACAAATCGCTTTCATATACATAAGATATTGCAGCTACGATGTTTCATTAAATGAAAGTGTCAATGACACTGTATCTCACCACAAAAAGGACACAAATGAGTGAGTGAGAAGAAGTCAGTTTTAATTGAGCAACCATCGACGTACATTATAGAAACGAAGAGAATATATGGGAGAACTCCCATTATATATATACTCTTGATAATTATATGTGTGATTTTTTATGTGACAATAAATGTTTGAGATGTGAAAGTCTGAGATGTGGGCGAGTGATGGCGTTACACCTAAATGATCACCATTTAACGTTTTTATAATATTCAGATTTTGTCAAAGGTTAATTGGTTGCATGGAAGTGTTTAGTTTGTATGAGTTTTTCTAGGCGGTAGCACACGGTTGCCATTTGTATATCGCAATAATAATTTATAAACAAAAATAAATCACAATTTGTGACGGTAGATGGTGCTATACCCGCTTTGATGTTTCTTAGCGATGGCGTTCGAAATAAATAGGTTATGCTGCGTTCCGACATGTTTTGTAAAACGTTACTCTAATATAGATATTTTATCGGCAGGGTGGAGAGGAAATTATAATACCAATTTTGCATAAAGATATTGTCAATGAAAATCTTGTAAAACGAACCAGTACGAGGTGACCTCACAGACTATTATGCTGTGCCTGTTACATATAATATGCCCAAAACCTACCTAATTTGCATAATTTTTATTTTAAATATCAAAACCCCTGTAATACGTTTTAGGGCCAGCCCTTATTCATTCCCATACCAAAAATGAGCAAAATCCGTTGAACCTGAACTGACTAATGCCAATTTCCATTTTTGCCAAAAAATTGCCGTCGCTCGAAAGTACGTCAACTGGCATGCTCCAAAATAGGACGTTCAAACCTCTCCCCTATCAGTAACAACTATACCCAATTTCAAACATGTGGGTCAAACGGTTCCTGAGTTATCGTTGACCGTAGACAAATGTTGACGGAAGGACAGACGGACAGTCCGACGACCCATGGCAATAGCTCATCTTGACAATGTCAAGGTGAGCTAAAAATTCAGATGGAAGGCCCCTGGACCACCCACCCCACCTCACAACCTTGTTGCTTGCAAAATGTCTCCTTCTTCAAATACTGAACCCCCTTGAGCTATACTTGCCACTGGTAAGAGGCACGTATGATCACGATAATATGTGATAATCATGTAACATATATGCAATGAGTTCGCAATCGCTCAAATGATTCGGTGCTATCAATCGTATAACCATATAATTTTGTACCAGTATGCTATGTTGTTTTTCTCTTAATGACCTGCATGTAGCCAGCAGGCCGTGATCCCAACACTCAATTTCAGTGGTTACAAAATGTAAGATAATATATGAATTTGGTCACTTTAAATTTAGGGATCAATTAATAGACATCTGTTGTATATATATAGACACCGGGCATCTCAACAATTTGGGGAGAGGGGTTGCGTAATTTGGAGGTGTTAGGGCTTGATGCCGTTTTAACACTAACATAGACATGCAACGCTATTCAAGTTAAAATGGCATGTTTTCGCAACCAAATACATAGATATACCTACTGTGAGTCTATGTTGTAAAAATTCACTACACCTCATTTGTATTGCTACTTTCATAACATTTTTCCAGCAAACCTAAACAGTCTTATGAAACTAGTACGTTAGAATGTTTACATTGTTTACACAAGCCGGGATACAGCCGAGCCGATCGCAGTTTTCACTAACAGTTATTTTCTATGACAAAACAAATTATAACTTAGTATTCGATGTTTGTTCAGTACAAAATTGTGAAATTTGTTTAAATCATGTTATCTACATTACATAAGTAATCAGCAAACAAATATAGTGTTTTCTTTCCAGGAACTATTTGTGCTAGCGTAGGCCTACTGTTAGTGTTCTCAGTCACATCACTCTGTGTATCTCTACGCCGAAACTGTGTCCGACGGAGTTTCAAAATAGTCAACTTTGGAGCACATTTCTGGCTCAATAAGAACATTTCGTGATGTTTGCATACTGCTGCAAGTATGCTTACAGTTGGTGTACATAGGCTTTTTGTTGAGATGTTTACATCCACTTTGTCTTTAACACGACAAACTATACATTTAACTAGCTGTAGAACTATAGCCTTTCGCTCCGCCACAGGAAGCGCCAGTGGCAGAGCAACGAGTTCTAGAGCTAGCATTTGACATGATTTGTGGTGCGTCACAGTGTGACTTTAACTCGTTTCGGATACAGATTTTTGAAAAAGCAAATGCCTAAATAATAACATAATTCATAATAACAAGTGCCGCATAGCGACAGCGCTCATCTAACGTCTACTGCGGTGACTCTGTGGTGGAGTGGAGGGATTCTAGTAAACCCTGTTAGACCCAAATGTGTTCACATACACGCCGAAACAGTGGAATGCACAGGGATGGTATCAGAAACC